AAAAAAAAAAAAAAACAGAAAAGGAAAAGAAAAACCTATGTCGGTCTGGCTGTAGAGCCTGTTCTTCCCCAACACTTGCCCCCTGTTAATGGCAGAATGGGGGGTGACAGGCCACCAAATGCACAGACACCGAAACACACAGCAGCTTTATTGTTTCCAAAAAACTTTCTCAGAACAGCAGCAGAGGCCATGGCCCGAGGAAGTGAAGCTGAACACAATGGTTTCTTCCTCCAGGAGAAAAGAGGGCGCCTGGGAAACTCCAGGATAGCAGTGGGGAGGCAGAGGTGACAGCTGTGTTCTTGATGGCCGACAGCAGCAGGAGAGCTGGAAGCACGGTGGGCCGTGGAGGGGCGGGGCAGAGCGGAGGGAGCGCAGGCTCACCGGATGCGGTAGAGGACCTTGCGCTGCATGCGGTGCTGGATCTCGCCCCGCCGCAGCATGAGCTGCAGCACTTTGTGCACAGCATGCTCTGGGTATTTCTGTGGGGGCACACAGCTGGGTCAAGGAGCTTGCCTCTCCAGGGAACCCCAAACATCCTTATGTCATAACTTTACACGCAGTCTCCCTCAACCATAAGGCCAGCTCACACTTCCTGAGCACCTACTGAGAGCACTAGGCTAAGTCTCAGTCTTAGTCTATCTTCATTCAGTCTATCCCCAACAACCCTGTGTGGCTGGTAGTAGGACTATTCGTTTTATAAGGAAGAAGCTGAGGCACAGAGGGGGAGGTCACTTGATCAATGTCACATAGCAGTTAAGTGGTAGAGCTGGGACTTAATCCTTCTAACTCTAGAATGGAAGCTCACGACATTCCTAACCCTCCCTGAGCCTCAGTGTGCTCACCTACCAAACAGGCATGAGACTACTCACTCCATAAAACTAGGAAAGGGTGCAGAGACCACAAACTGGGACTCTAAAGGTGACTGGTTCTCCACAGCATCTGGAAAGCTCCATTTGTGCCAGGGGGTCAACAGCACCCTCACCAACGAGCTGGAAGGCTAAGCTGGAAGCCTCCTGGCTCTGCCCACCCACCACACCGAAGGCCAGGCAGTGGGGAGAAGGGACAGATGGGAAAGGCTCGGGAAACGTAGGTATGGTATCCAGCTGCCTCTCCTCTCCCTCCCCTCCATGGGATAGAAAAAATACCCCTGCCGTTGACTGAAGCAGCCCCTAAGAAAGAAATAATGGCTGGGACAGGTGTGAGAAAAGGGAGAGCTGTGCCCCCTCTCCTTCACCTCCCTTCAGGGGCCTGTCTGCTAAGCAAAACACCAGTGTGGATGGTTGGGAAACAGCCATGGGGACAGCGCAGAGGCAGACCCACCTGCTTGGTGAAATCCTGGATAATGCTGTGCTCGGACACCTGGGAGCCGATGGCAAAGCGGCGCTTCAGCTGCTTCTCGATGCGGCTGAGCATCTCCTGGTCCTCCTGGCTGGTGAAGCCCTCCACCCCTGTGGGCAAGACAAGGGCAGTGGGCAGAACCAAGGTGCTGGGACCCCCGTCTGCCCACAGTGGGCATTCTTGGAGAGTTGGAGGCCTCTAACCCATGGAAGAACAACCTGAGTCAAGCCCACAAAAGCAAATTAGAGAAGGGCACTAAGTGTGCCAGGGGCTGCAAGGACCTGACCAAGGAAGAGACGGGACAAGGCACACGTGTGGGGAAAATGCACCAGGCAGACACAGGCACAGAGGCAGGAACACACCTGACTCCTCACAGAGCAATCTAAGGGCCAGGAACATGGCCAAAGTGGTAACTAGGGGCTGGATCCCGTGAACCCCTGTAGGTCACAGCACAAGTTTTGCTGGAGAAGTAGATTCAAAATGGAGAGCTGGAGGGTACCCAGCAGTGACCCAGGAGGCTTGTGTCCTCCCATTACTACTGCAGGGTGGTCTCCCGCTGATCACGCTTGGCAGAGGTCTTGGTGTGTCAGCCAAAGAGACACAGCCCTATGGTTGGAAACCACTGAGGGGAAGGAGTCTGCAAGGCAAACTCCTACACACCCTACAAGGCCCAACTCAAATTATCACTACCCCACATCACTCTTGCCCTTTTCATGTACAGCATCCCCGAGAGCCCTCCACTAGCAAGCGTCTCAAGTGACAGGAAGCACCTCCAGGTCAGGGACTGAGTCTTTGCCAAGGCAGTTGGGGAAGCAGGCCCTGCCCCGGCCCCTCTCGAACTTGTCAAGGCTGCTTCCTCCTCGGGTTAAGTGACACTTAGTGCTCCCTCTCCCTGAGGAGCTCTTCCCCCAGGGAGCCATATTTCCCTTCATGCAGGTCCCTGCTCCACATGAGCTACTCAGAGGCCATGCTCAATACCTCAGGGGGAAACAGCACCCCTCCTTCTCCAACACTCCCAGCCCTACCGTCAACTCCCCCACTGCACCTTGACCACCTTGCCCCTCTAGAATGAGGATGAGGGCCCAGCAGGGCAGAGCCCTGTGCTCTGTCTGCTCTCCTACTCCCAGCGGCCAGAGCAGCACCTGGCAAAGGGCAAACACTAATGAAGTCTTTGCCGGGGGAAAAATAGTCTATCCCAGGGGAGCTGGGCACAGTGGTGCTCGGAACAGCCCACTGGAAGGCTGACCAAGCAGGCAGGACTGCATGTGGTCGGGAAACCACAGGACAGGCCCCGGGAAAGGAGTCCTGTGTCCAGGCCAGGTGACAGGTGACCCCAGGCACTACAGAAAGGCCTCTCTGAGCATCAGCTTTCTTTTTTTTTTTTTTTTGAGACAGAGCCTCAAGCTGTCGCCCTGGGTAGAGTGCTGTGGCATCAAAGCTCACAGCAACCTCAAACTCCTGGGCTCAAGCGAGTCTCTTGCTTCTGCCTCCCAAGTAGCTGGGGCCACAGGCACCCGCCACAACGACCGGCTATTTTTTGGTTGCAGCCATTATTGTTTTTTGGCGGGCCCGGGCTGGATTCGAACCCGCCACCTTGTATATGTGGCTGGCGCCTTAGCCCCTTGAGCCACAGGCACCGAGCCTGAGCATCAGCTTTCTCATCTCTCAGATGGGAAGGACTGAATGCCCACCTGGCTCCGGGGGGCAGATATGAGAAACACTGAGAGAAACAGCTCTGGAGGTGCTGGAAATGGTTACAAGTGCAACCAGCAAGAGCGCCCACCACTGTTCTTCACCAGTGATAAGGTTATTGTCGTTAATAACCTGGGTCAAGGCTCGGCGCCTGTAGCTCAACCGGCTGGGGCGTCAGCCACGTACACCTAAGGTGGCGGGTTCGAATCCCCAGCCCGGACCCGCCAAACAACAATGACGGCTGCAACCAAAAAATAGCCGGGCGTTGTGG